ACTATTTGACGGTCATTGAGGGTTTGCGTTGCGAGCTCCTTGTGCAAAGCGGAACTCAATTGGTTCCTTGACTAGATCGGCGAAACATTTTCATTCATTCAGAATATATATGTTGTGATTTCAAAGAGTCGGCCAATCCCAATTGTGCATCGAAAAACAAAAAAAAGAAAACGGGATTGTCTGAAGTTCCTAACATTTGATAACATTTTGACTGAATTCTAGACGAATATGGAGGCTAGATGTTTATCAGCCGGCGTGGGGTTTAGGGATACAGAGGAGACTCGGGTGAAGAACAGCCCCATTTACGAGCATTTCAGGTAACGAGCGAGCCATTTATATAAAATATGCTTTGATTGAAGACCTACCTCTCAGTTAACGAGTTGCCAGTGCGTGTGTGTTTGCCCGCCGTTGAGTCTTTCTCAAGACGTGGGCCCTCGGTTGCCTGCAGCCAATCAGTAAACTGATGCAGATTAATTGGCTACGTTTCGCAAGCTAATTTTTTCACATCAGGAGCTTGGTACCGGAACAGATCAAACTCTTTAACCGAGGTTCCATTGCATATCTGTAGGCAACACTTCCACCGTACCACGTGTATGCTGGTCCGTCAGATTAATTGTTTCACCTTCCCCAGGTGTGATATACGTGCATTATTTATATTTTTCCATGCTTTGCTTCGACATACCTTTTAAATTTAAAAGTAAAATATGCCGATGAAATGTATGGTCAGACTTTTGATCACCACCTGCAGTGTGCGGAGAAGCTGGTTTCCTTACAAATGTGTCAAAAGGCCCGCCGTTGAAATACCTTAAATACTTGAATGGATACATCCGTTTTGTTGAATGGACTGCTGGAAGTATTTTTATATCTTTTCTCCACGATGAAATTAGATGGTTTGACGCTAACTTATTATTATTGATCTTCATTATTATTGGTGTCAGAAGTATTCCTCCTTCTAGTTGTAATTTATGCTGTTAAAACGGTTCTTTTTATATTTTTATCCTTTTCGTGCTTTTATCTCATGAAAAATCCTACGAGTTTGGGGCATTATTATTCCAGAGTGCACTAGTTTGACGATGAACTTGCATTCCGAGAATGCTATATGGTTAGTACCTTGTCGTCCAAAAAGCCTTATAACTTATAAAACCCGCACAGCCTTGAACATCTAATGGCATTCAATAGCCCACAGTGGCACAGTCGCGTGCTGGGTGGATGTTTTGCCCAACTCAGCAGAATGGATTATAAAAGTAATTTATGCAGTAAGTATTTAATTTTTTAGAAATCCCGGGGTTCTTCTATGACGAAACATGTGATCGTTATTTTAAAATCGAAGGGAATAATGCGGCTTCCCACCTAAGTGCATCATCCGTGAGTGATCGAAAATTAATAGAAGCCAGCGAAGCACGCCTTAGTAACCTCCAGACCTCTACT